CCCCCACCCCCCCATCACGTTGCTAGAGCTGGCGTGGAATGATATTGCTAAGACTTTCAAAAAGTGTACAGTACAGGAATGGGGGGAGTCCATGAAGCATATGAGCAAGATGGAGGAAACAAGGAAAAGCTGGGAAAGAAAGACACAACGATTCCTACAATAGTAGGATTTTTTGCTTCTTGTTGCTAAATTTGGAAAATGGGCCTGTCTTTACAAGAGTGGGAAATTGCAGATCGGTAGCCACCTCTGTAGCCCAAACAATTTAAATTATTCACTTGTTGCCACAGGGACCCCATCATGAGGATCGCTAGCACCTTAAGGACAAACAAATTTGTTCTGGAATCATTTCTTTCCGATGCATCTGATAAAGTGAACTTTACCGATCTGTAGAAGCTGGTGCAATGGTGGTGCAGAAAAAGGATTGATGCTATTTTGCCAGAACTGACTAACATGGCCAGGGCTTGGAAAGCTATTATCTAACTCAAGATAATGTTGAGAATACTGTTCCGGTGATCAGCCAGTGAGAGTTGGTTATTTCCTGGTATTCATCCTCTGCATTGTGGAACAGGAAAAAGAGAATCTTAAGAGGAGAAGAAATTCTAAATTGACCATAGCCTTGAAAACGTTATAGGTTTTCCCCCTAAGTTTATTTTTTGAAAAGCAAGATAGAAGGGGAAAAAAGCGTAAAAACATCTAATGAATAAAGGTAAAAGGATTAGTCTGCCTTTGAATCATAGGTCTTCTATTCCTGTTTGCTCTGAATTCATGAGAGATCACGTATTTATTTATTTGTTAGATCCATATTCTGCCTTTCATTTAGGAGCTAAAGGCAGTACATAGCACTGCGAGATGGATTGGTATAAGAGAGAAAGACTGGTCCAAAGAGCCTCTGGGAGCTTCTGGGGCTGAGGTGGGACTAGGACCTGACCCTCCCCATTCCTAATCTAACATCTCAACCAACCACACATACTTCTAATTTGGGGGCAGACAACCTGTGCACCTCCAGTTGTTGCTGAACTGTGACTCCCAGCAGCCATCACCATTGGCCATGCTTTCTAAGGATGCTAGAAGAGAAGCTATATTCAGAAGCTGTCTTTGCCTAATGGATTCTCCTCTACTTCCCTCCCTTCTCTCCCTTGCTGTCTTGCTCTGGGATACTTCCCTAACACTGGCAGTCTGAAACTGGAGAATATAAAAAGAAGAGAGAGCATGCTGGAAGACGTTGTGGCATCCAAGCCTCCCTCACAACCTGCAAATAGGGGGAAACGATGGTACCTCTGGAGTCAACATAGATTATTTCACTCTGGAGTCCTTGGGGTTCTCGGAGCTTGGTTGTTTTCTTGCAACCCCCCCACCCCCACCAACACTGGCAGGGCATGCCACTATATATAAACAGAGAGCAAACCCCATCCCATTCTAGCACTGAAGATGTTACCTAGCCGGGTAATGAAATGTTTGCAAGAAAACAACCAAGCTCAGAGAACCCCAAGGAATCCACAGTTCAACCCTGAGCTACACATATTCTTTTCTACTGGTATTATTTCACTCGCTCTGGAATCTTTGGGAAGGAAACAAATATTATATAGATATAATACTTGCAAGAAAACAACCAAGCTCAGAGAACCCCAAGGAATCCACAGTTCAACCCTGAGCTACACATATTCTTTTCTACTGGTATTATTTCACTCGCTCTGGAATCTTTGGGAAGGAAACAAATATTATATAGATATAATACAAATTTTGCTGCTCCATATTCACAGATATATAATACCCAGGTATATTTCATTTTTTCTTCCTGCAACTGCTCATCTTTCTTCATCAGAAATATTTGATGGAGTATTTCTGATGAAGGGTCAGGACCAAGGTGCCGTGATCCTTCAGCCTCAAACCATTTCTCCTTCCTGTTTCCTTCCATTTCTCCTCTTCCTTTCCAAGTATTTTTGTGGAAAGGAATTTTCCAATATCAGAATGATGGGCCTTGACCCACTGCGCAATACCACTATTACTCTTTGTTATCCCCCCAGGCAAAAAATACTATGAAAGTGGCTGTATCCTAGGGGTATGGAACTGTTCAGCCACATTTAGAGGGGTACAGATTTCACCCCAAGGCCAAAGTATATACTAAAGTTTTTATGCAGTACTAATATATCCATGCATGCAAATTAGTATATATATGTGTTCTAAAATTTTTAGAATTCTTCGAAAGGGTTGACCTGTATCAATTATAAATCAAATCAGTAATCTCTTTGGAATCCTTGGGGTTCTCTGAGCTTGGTTTTCTTGCAAACGTTTCATTACCCAGCTAGGTAACATCTTCAGTGCTTCAATCTTCTCTTTAATGGCCAGAGTATTAAATAGGAAGCTTTCTTAGATAAGGTCAGACTAGTTGTCCATCCCAACAATAGTTGTGAACTCCAGCTTTCTCCATATATGGCTTCAAGGCATTTTGTTGCCTGGGGTAGAAAAGCACCCATGCCAAAGTCAAGGTGCCCAGTGCTAGACAAATTATTCTAAGTAAAGTGATAGTCACTTTAGTCAAGCTCAGCTCCTGACTCCTTCATGAACATATCCATGTGGTCTTCTGGGCAACAATATAGAAATGATTTTCCCTTGCCTTTTTCTGGGATAATTTTTCAGCTTCTCAATATAACTTACAGTCCTGGGGTTGCTTGGTAGTCTTCCATCCAAGTACTGACCAAGTCCAACTCTGTTTAGCTTCCACGCCCATACAAGTGCTATCCCTGCTGAGTAGACTAAAATTTGGAGTACTGTAGTACAAATTTTAATGAACACCTACCTTTTCTGCTTCCTAGCAGTAAAACATAGTAATAACATAGATCATCATCATCGTCGTCACCATCATCTGTAACTGTGAATTGGCTGTTCTCTCCTATTTTCCCCACAACAGCAACCCTATGAGATAGGTTGGACTGAAAGAGAATGACTGGCCCAAAGTCACCCAGTTGGCTTTTGATGATTCACATACATGCATGATGGAAAATTTGGGACAAACTAGCAGATAGTCCTATGTTTAGTAGAGCTAAAAGTGGTTGAACTGAGGTACTGAAGTTAATGGTAAATCCACAAATAGCAGCATAATGTGGTCCTGTTATAAAACTCTTTGACCTGATCCAGAGCCCTACAGAAGGTGCTCTGATGATCACTGGAGACCTTAAATCAGGAGCACCCTGAGACCTACCCTAAATCTCTTTTCTGATGGCTCCAAGAGCAATGTTAACATATGCTAGAAATTGGTGGCTGTTTCCTACCATTTCAGGATGGGAAAAACACACAAATGTTTATAATTTAAAAAAAGCGAAGTGGGAAAAAAAACCTCTCCCATCTCCAACTATCAGGAAAAAGAGACTCCTGGTTCCTTCCACATGACCAGGTTCCACCTACATTTCAGATACTTCTGCCTGTTGCGGGTCTCTCAAAAATACTGTGTAGTCTTCAGTCACTAAAAGGTAGACCACTGCAGCCTTAAATTAATACTGTTGCCACAGTCCTAAATTTCATCATTGTGTCTACTCAGCACATAAGAGTTCCTATATGAGCCCCAGGGACACAGGTGGCAAACTGGAGTCTGACGGCTGGATCTAATAGCCATCTCAAGGCACCAATGGACTTGTGTTGGTAAACAGGCTTATTGGCTGATTTTAGGCTGGCAGACCTGCCTATAGATGATTTCCTTCTTATCAGCAATGAAGCAGCTTATCAAGCTAGGTCAGGTAAATGAATCTTTCACTATTACTGAATGTGGGGTTGATTCTCTGAAGTGTTCATTGCTTTGAATTGTGATTCGAGGTGAGAAACTGATGAAAAGCATGTGAAACCAAGGTCTTGTATTCTAGAGTTGGAAGAGGCCATTGCACACGAATCCTGTCCAGTGGATCAGGATTCTGTATTTTGATCTCTGAGATGACAGATAGCAGCTCTTGATCTCTTCTATGTGAGATCCTTTGAAGTATTATCATAGCCCCTGCCTACCTTCTATAACATTCCCAGTTCCTTCAGCTGGTCTTACAGAACTTAGTTTCTTGATTTCTCATCCTTGTTGCCCTTCCCTGAACCTAAATTGTATGCATCCTTCTTACAGTGTATTTCCAAAACTGGGCACAATATTTAAAGTAATGTGCAGAGCACATTTGGAATGATGACTTTCTGAGATTTAAGAGGGATGGTGTTTCTTCTGAAACAGCCTTCTTCAATCTGGAGATGAAATCCATCAGCCAAAATCCTTAGCAAACATGGTGTAACTAATTAAATGAAACCAGGTTTTGAGATTTTAGGACAAAGCCATCAGTTTAGGGTCCTCAATTATTTTATTCAAAATTCTCTTCCTGACTCCTCTTATATAAGCTGCTGCTTAAATCTCAGGATGGAAAAAATTTAATCATATCATACAATTCCCCTTGCCCCATACATTGTATATTCAAATATGAAAGGAAATTCTTTTCTTCTTCTTTGCAGTATAAAATACAAAGTTTGGACAGTACATTTTTATTCCACGTGTGTATAAATATAACCCAAAGAATATGATTTCAGTATTCCTACCAAAATATTACATTTTTTTTTGTACAAAAGTTTACAAAAACTTTTCTATATATTTACAGCCCAATACTGAAAAGAACTCCTGATTCAATAATGCAAAAGATAAGTGTAGTGCATTTAACTGTAATGGTAAAAAGAAGATATATGGTGTTAACAAGATGCAGGGTTTTTTCTTGTTTTAAAATAAAAATACTCCCAGCTTTTTACATACTTGGATCACAAAGGTGCAACCTAGGGTCAAGTGTCCAAGGGCATGGAGTTTTGAAATAAACAGAAATTGCACAAGGATACATCTCTTTTACAACTTTGGTTCACGGAACTGCAGATAATCAGGAATGATAAGACTTTATAGATGCAATGGCCAGGAACAGCATCCAAAATCCTTAGGTCACCAGCCTTTGTTCCCCACTTCACCAGAACAGCAATCTGCTCATTATTTCAGCCTTCCTACAATGGCATGCGTCAGATGTATTAGGACTGAAGTTTTCAAAATTACCTAGCATGTGCTGGCTAGAAATTCTTGTAGACTCAATCCATCAAGAGGGCGTAAGGTTGAAATGCCTGCAGAGTTTTAATTCCCAACAGTGCCCTGAGTGATGCTATGCGCAGGGCACTGTAGATAATAAAACGACTGGTGAAATACCACCCTCCCCTGCAGATTGTATCACCGCTGCTACTCCTTGCCACTATCAGGGAAGTCTAGGGGAAGAGATTAGATCTCACTTACCATTGTGCTGTTTATGAAGAAAATGGACTATCCATAAAAAAAAAAAAAAACACCTTGCATTTGAAAAATGAACTCCTTAAATTGGCATCCTGAGAGTGATGGTGGTGGCTGGTTGCAGCGTGTGCTCAAAATAATTAAGCCACCTTGTTTGATGGATCTACCATTAGATATCCTTTGAGTCTATGTGTGTGGTGTCTGCAGGGATCCATGCCACATGGATCCCCATTCTGATTCCTAATATATTGATATGTAAGGTAAAACTGGGATGTTTTGATATGATCTGCACTCTGGGGCACAGGGGAATCCCATTAGCATCCAAGACGCAATTCCATCCCCAACACCTAATTAGGTAAATAAAGAGGAGGGAAGAAGAAACTCACTCGGTAATGGGAAAGCTATGGAGAGGAGAAGGCAGCTTGTGAAGTGGGTCATCTGCAGAAATCATAACAGGCTGGGCATGCTGGATATTCCTATTTCACTGGAAGTAGCTAGACAGACCTTGAACAGAAAGTCTCTATTTCTCTTGAGTTTGGTACTCTGTACTCTGCACGTATTCTCCCATAAAGGAGGGGTATTAGGAAGAAAGTGGGTGGGAAGGCAAATCACTCACACTGCAAGCTATCTCTTTATTCCCTTGCTAAATCTAATTCTGTAGATTTGTTTCCAGAAAAGTGGGTAGAGAACTGCAGCTTTAATGGAGCATTAGGAACTTTGGAGTAGAGATTTAGGAAGCTGCCATATGCTCTGTGGACCTTCAGGATTGTGGGATGGCTCTTTCTCACCACAGACTAAATATCCTATGGAACCTGGGATCTTTGACATGTGCATACAGGTTCTATCAATACACTTCTCTTCCTTGGCACTTACTGATTGCTTCTACGAAGTGCTAAACCTGTTTCCCTAAATTTGATATGCTCCTGATTTTTAGATTACAATTCTCATGATGCACTGAATGAAAATGATAAGAATTCTAATCAAACACATTTGGAATGTGCAATGTTAGGGAAGTCTATGTTAAGCTTTCTGAGTTGGGTGTTCTTTTCTGTTTTCAGTTTATTTTTCCCAGATTTGTATTTGTACACACACACAAACACACACACACACACACACAGATATGCATGAAAACCATTAGTGGATGTCAGCAGGTATATTGTTGATGCAGTGCATATTCCTGGGTCTCTCCTTTGTGTCATAGATGCAAATATTAGCCTACATATTTAGGATTTGCTTAGATGATGAACAGCTGTTTCTTTGATTTCCTTTAGCTTTCGGAACCCCATCAACTATTTGGAAACTATGGATCCAGACTTCACTATTCTTAGCATACTTGATAATGGGACAAGTTAAGCAAGCATGGTTGCATCCAAGTGCCTTTAAGTTTGGATCCAGCCACTCACTGTTTTGCTTCCTCCCTCCCCTAACGTTTGTCTTCTACAAACGAAAGAGTGATATCCTGACTTTTCAGCCTTAAAAAAAAAATAAAATAAAAAGACCCCAGGAATTAATAATTGTTAGCTGCCTCAGGAATGGCCTCCTAATATCTCATCAAGGTTGATGTCTTTCATCCAATCATCATTACCGGGCTCTGTTTTCAACAAAGAATCAATGAAGTCTGGGTCACTATTGAGTGCAGGCCCAATGTTATCTCCTTGCTGGTTCAGAAAGTCAAATGCTAGATCACTGGAGTGATCTGTTCCTTGAAAAGCCCTGGTGGACATTTGGGTAGTACTTGTTGAGAACTGGTTTGATGACAAGGGGTGGGGTGGTGTCATCCCCACCCTGGGTGGATTTAAGTGTGCCACAACCTCTGCCCGTAATTGGGTAGGCATTGCACTCTGGGATTTGGATGCCCCAGCCACTTGCCCATTTAGACTTTGGTTCATTTGGCTCGCAGGGGTTCTCATCTGGATAGTGCCCAGTTGGTTAGGAGGCACCATGGCACGCTGAGGAAACTGCTGAAGGGCAGCTGTGCGCTGTAGTGGCTGATTTGTATAGGAGCTTCCAGATGGGAAAGGGGATCCTGAAGCCCTCTGTGTTTCCTGTTGCTTTGATCCTGCTTCTGGAGAAACCCAGCTTTGAGCTGCAGCATTTGAGGTGACCATCACATTTGAAGGTCTCTGTGCTGAAGTCCCCTGGTTCAAGCTGAGCTTCCCTTGCTGGGAATTAACTCCCAAGCCACTGTCAAAGGTGGGCATGTTATTGCCTTGCCCAGGTGGTGCTGGCCGAGATGCTGCAGGGTTGTTTTGACTGGTTACAATTGGGTTTAGATTTCTGTGCTGTGGAACTTGGCTCACTCCTGACGTTGCCACATTATACGCATTTGGTTGACTGCAGGGAATGCTCCCATAGCAGCTGACGTGGTGACCTGCTGGAAGAGAAGGCATCCTGGTTCCATGAGTTGTGGACAAGAGATTTGATGGCTGTGGCAAAATGCTAGGAGTGGAAACAGCGTTGGAGAAACACAAGTTGGAGTTGATGCTCACAGCTGGTGATCCACCTAGGAGGAACAAAGGTATAAAAATCCATAATCTTTACTGATCATCCATCAGAGGTCAAAACAGGACTCAGAAACCAAAGTACCCATAGGTCCACTTTCTACTTTGGCTATCTTCCTATCCCTCACTCAACATAATGATCCTACTGGAGAAAATATAGTATATTCCTATGCCATCCAATGCCATTTCTTTGAAGCATAGTAGAATCACACATCATCCCTTTTGCTCAATTACATGGCTGGATCAAGCCAATTTTGGCTGATCTCAGCTAAGCAGCCTGATCAAGTTAACACTTAGATGGGAGATGATCAGGAAATACCAGGGCTAAAAGCTAGGCTGGGATTTTATTTTATTTTTTTTAATCAAAACCTTGGAAGAAGGCAGTAGCAAATCACTTGTGTGCACTGCCAACCAAAGTACATGGACATATCCCTGAAAGTCACCAGGAGTTGAACTCAACTCCAAGGAAATTTAACTAGATTTATGTACCATCTGTTGTCTCCAGAGTGTTTGACTCTTATGTCCTGATTTCTCTCCTCTTTCCAGAAATTTTGACCAGAGGATTATAAGCAGAAATTTGATGGTCAGCCATGGGGGATGCTATATATCTATATCTATATCTATATCTATATGTATCTCTCTAATTTTTATTAAAGATTTTTTTAAAAGGAAGATGAAAAATAATATAATATAAAGTAAGAAAATGAAAAAAAGAAAGAAAAAAGATACAAAGAAGTAGCTTCTGATCTTCTTTTTAGCAGTTATAAGTACAATTATAAATTTACCTCTTACTCAACATAACTCTCTTCTTTCTATAATCTATCCTGTCTAATCATCAAAACCATAAATCTTAACTTCATTTTTTTTTGTTTCATGCAAAAAGTCTAGAAGGGGTTTCCAGTCAGCAATAAATGTAGATACTGTCTTTTCTCTAATCAAAGCAGTCAATTTAATCATCTCAGCTAGTTCCATCATCTTCACCAACCATTCCTCCATTATGGATAGCCATGGAGGATGCTTTTGTAATGGTGCTTTCCTTCATGGGTAATGGATGAAGCCAGCTGATCACTTAGGTCCTTCCCACCCAGAAACTGGATTTGTACAACACAACAGACTAAGCTGAAAGGGGTTGGATATTTTGTGTTTCAGAATGTTGTGGAAACCCAGCAGCTTGTGTAAACTCAGCCATCATATTAAATCACAATATGATTTACTGGGGCATAGTATATTATGTGAACAGAGCTATATTAATTAAGTTTTAGGGATAAGGTATCACATGAATCTAGCCAATGATTCACATGAAATGGGATTTTTCTCTATTTCTGATTGGCAGTGAGCTTTCTATTGTTCCCTGATCCTTAACAGACTGAGACCAAGGCTGATTACAAACTTGGTTTAGTTGAATGGGTGGACTGTTAAACTTCTCCTGATTGACTTGTGGAGGCACAAATTTTAATAAGTTGAATTTGAAAGAAAAGGCATTCTGAATGTGATATACAGTAATGCTATGATTGAAAGATGAGCCACTGGTTCATCTAGCTTGGTATTCTGGACAATGACTGGCAACCAGCCTTATCTTAAAGGTAGAACTTGGCAAGAAGAGGAACCAATTGTTCTTAGGCTAGACACAACGTTTAGGTAAACAAGCATCTCCTACTCTTAAAGCCTGGAAGAGAATTTATAAATTTCCTTTGACCCAAATATGCAGGAGGAATTAAATCATGATTTCTGAATTCTGCAGTAAGCAAATCTTCTGCATATACATGGCTTCTAGCTTGTTTGCAATAAAGCAATTTACCTAACTATGTCGTGTCTGTGACCTTTGGCCATAAGCATGTATGGGATTACATATCTGGAGAGTTAGGATTTATTCCTGTCCCTAATGTGAAGATGGCACCTACCTGCAAGGCCAAATGTTGAACCTGGGGCCTCATGCATGAAAAGTATGTGCTCTACCTCTGAACTACTGGATACCCCCTCTTGAATAAATAAATAAAAAAAGAACTGGTGGGCAAACTCAAAGACACTTACATGAAAATAAGTTGTCTTATCCTTACTGTATAAGTAAAAATACAGTAGTATTTTAATTGAAATGCTGTGTCTCTGGAGAAACCTCTGAATGATCTGTTTCCCCACTTATGGGAATTCCTGTCTCACTGTATCTTCCAGCTCCTGGGATTCAATGCCCTAGCAGGTCTTTCAGCAGGGAGTGTCTTGACCGTCTGGCCGCACTCCTGCATAGGAACCACTCAGATTTTTATTTTATTTTTTGCACAAGACAAATGCATGCAATGTGAAGTGTGGATGTGAAGGCAGGAGTAATCACAACTCATTGTATTTCTCTTTTGCACGGAGTGAGGATGAAGGGATTTTTGTTATTCCTGGATCGGTGGCAGCTTGGTGTGAATTATGTTCTATTCTTTGCTCTTATTCTCAGAGTTTCAGTGTCAGCAAAAGAGAAGGTGATCATGGATCATCTTCAAACTGACTTTGCAGGAGTGAAAACAGTAGCAATGTGAAAGAACGCATGGAGTTTCTTATCAGCAAGCTGCCTGGATTAGACATGTCATTAGCAATTAAGCAGCGCAATCAGAGCTGAATTTGTGCACCAAACGTCACTGAAATGAAGCAGATGTTCCAGACACATAACCAAGTATTTGTCTATTGCAACAAAAAGACTCAAGCGATTAAGGCATTTTCTAGATAGCCAAGATGGAACATGTTGATTCTAACACAGATGGCCAACATACTATATTCTTTCGTAATGGCAGAAATTGTTTCAGAGGGTGCAGTGGTTGGGGACAATGGTTTTCTCTCTCACTCCCAAGACAAAGTTTCCTTTTTTCTCTGAATCGCTCGCTATTTTTAGCTTTTTCATTCCCCCCCCTCCTTTTTGTGCTACTCTAATTTATACCAGATGGGCAGAAATTGCATTCCAATTAGTGTTTAACAGAGAACATAACCAGACCTCAGATACTAAAAGACTTGAGTGGTACTGGAGAATGTGTCAATTTCTGATTAATGGCCAGAACTGACAGTCCATCATAAAGAGAGGTGTATGCTCTCTGAAAGTCAATTTTGCTACGTAATATAAGTCTATTTCATGAAGAGTAGGTGTGGGAGGACCATTGAAACTAAATCCAAATCAGAGGACAAATATACTCAACAAGGAATAAGGTAAATGCCACTGTGCAGAATACTTTTTAGAAAAATGCTGCACAGTCTTTCAACATTCTCCATCAAAGGTATAGACATATGGGTTAGGTAGATGATTTCTCCAAATATCTTCGAAGGAAGAGAGAAATTGTCCAAACATCTCTGTAGTGATTCCTATTTAAAAAAAGATCTTGGAAGAACATTGTCCTTGGGATTTAATGCCAACCTAGGAAGCAAGGAAAGCTTCATACTCTTGGAGCAATGACTTAAAGACAAGATTCTCACTCATTTATAAATAAGTAAAATGGGAACAGAACAGTCTATCTAGGAGCATTTTCCAGGTATTCTTTTGTTCTCTAAAAACATTCTAAAGAATTTCTCTGCCAAGCATTAGTCTCTCTTTTTTTTTTTAATAGCAATAATAAAAATACATCCATCCACCCCTTGTTATATATAAACGGGGAGAGTTGAGGTCAGATTTGCACAAATGCAAGTAACATGTAGTTAGCCGCCATGAAAAAAAACATGAGCAGGTTCAGGATCACGGTTTTCTTCAGGCTTGTGCTTTCTAGGTATGGACTGGATCTGAACTCTCCTATTTGTAGCATTTTGCTCTGCAGGTTAGAAAGGATGAGATATCAAGACATCTGAGTGTCTTTAAATTGGGGAAGCCTGGCTATTCTGAGCAGTTCCCAGATTCTTTGTAATGTGAGCCCTGAGTAGGTGTGATGGAGAACTGAACAGCTCTGGTTGAGAAGTCATTTGCTTATGTTCATATGTTAATGCGACGGGACCGCATCGCACTTCCTGGAAAGACAATCGGAGCTACTGTATATGTACCTTATGTTTGAATTTTTCTAAACATTGTGATGCAATTTGCCATTCCAAAAACCAGGGAAAAGTGCCCACAATTACAAAGAGGATTTCAGGAAATACATATGCAAAAAGGCATATGTTAGGAGAAATGTGTAGGTGCTATTTAAACCCCCCCCCCCC